GATTCTTTTCATGTGTAATTTAAATTAATATTTGTTAAACAAATAAGTGATAAATAGGCGTACTATTTCATAATCTGACACGTTCATTTACAAAAAAAATGAGAGAAAAAAGTGAGAGTAGTGGGCGTTTGTACAACAAACATGACTTTAATTGAGTTTTATCCATGAACTATAAATCCAAAATGAATCTGAAAAAAGTCAATCATAATAACGTTAACATAACCAAAATAGAATCGATTTAGTCTGACAACTAATATCGAGAAGAGAAATAAAAGAAATTGTATTAGCCAGTGATAAAATTGTATTTAAGAGGTAGAATCTCTTATTATATACAGATAATCTCTGACGGACGCTAATATTATATACAGCTTCTGAGATTCTAGAATCAAAGTGTAAATTTTTTTAGCACGATGTACGCAGTACACTCTGTTTTTTCGAGCAAAATGTAAATCAGAGTGTAAATCAAAAGTAGCAGATGTACAGTACATTTTGCTTTTGCTTGGTACACCTGCTATTGGAAACTCTGTTCGTGGGGTGTCGATTTTGAGCCCTCGAATTTCAGACAGGTAACGAGCTTTCGAGAAAAATGTCGAGTCGTCGAATAGAGATATTCGGGCTGCCGAACCCTCAAGGTGCGATGTTCGGGACTTCCGAGCGCTCGCTCTCTCAAAGGTGCGGCGAGGGCCTGGAAGTCCCTAGAATCCGACGAGGGCTCGGAAATACCCCTCGAAAGCTTATATCGAGGGTCCGAAGTGCCATTTTCTGAGGGCTCGAGCCCTCGGCCAAGGCTCATCGAAAGCATATTTCCGAGCACTCGTGGTACCCCTCGAACAACTGGTTGGGTATTTACAAATTTAAAGCTGTGCTAACTTTCTTGGGAGGCTTTCTTGGTTTTCATTTGCCTAATGGTTGAATATACCAGAAAATCATTGAATGTAAGCCACTGACGAGAGCGCTAAACATCTAGCCAATGATACATTCGATGATTTTCCGGTGCGGCAATCATCCTGTTGGCTTGGTGTACCATTAGAACCATGTAGCTGTCAGATTAGCATTAAAGTATATTAGTATAAAAATCCCGTTGGATTAACAATTTTATTTAACTTGTATCAAGTTGGCGATAAAATATTCAGCCATTAGGCAACCGAAAAGCAGAAGGGTCTTCCAAGAAACACAGCACAGCTTTAAATTTGTAAATAGATATAAATAAAACGATGAAAATATTGTTCATTCGGTTAATTTTACAATGAATACGTATCATGTTGAAAATTTTGGTGATCAAAAAAATTGATACCCTAAATTAAAGACGCTGAGGAAAGAAAGAAACTATAAAAATAGCGACTGCTTACTACATTGATTTTGCTGATGTATGAATTTTTGTATTCGATTATTTTTTTGATCAACAACTAGCAGATCACCCGTTTTCGAATCAAATAGAATACCGTGCGGTTCATTCAATTGATCACGACCATTACCAGCAATAGGACCTATGAGAAAGATTGAGAGCATATTCATGTGTAAAGATGAGTGACAATTTATTACCTCCAACGACTGTAATTCCAGCTTTTGCATTCACCGTCCATTTTTGTATTCTATTATTCATCACCTCGGACACGTAAACTGTTCCATCTCTATCAACCAAAATTGAGTCTGACGTATCTAATGAACTACTACTAACTATCGTAAGAGCATTTGTTCCACTTGTTGACTTATTCAGGAATTTTTGTACGCGCTGATTTATTGAATCAACAACATACAACTCGCTATTATCAGTTACATAGATTCCTCTCGGTCCTTGCAAACGATTCGCCGTATGTCCAGGTTTTCCTCGAATTCCAGCAACAACTATACCCTGAGGGAATTTCCATATCACATGATTCTCAAAATCCGATACATAAAGATTTTTACAATGATCCAAAGCTAGACCATAACATTTACCAATTTTAATATTGCGTGTGACGATTGTTCGTTCCTTAGTTTTTATATTATATTTTTCAATATAAGAACTGTTCAATGACGCAATGTAAAGGTCGTCATTATCTAGGAAAATACTTGTTACACGATTAAGACCCGCTAGGATTGTAACACTATCTGTTGGATTTGATGAAGTGTATTTAACGATACGATGAGTCGAAATATCAGCCATATAAATATCGTTATTACGAGAATCAATAGACAGACGTGTTGGCCAAGCTAACTCACCTGCTACAGTAATAGCTTCGCGAGACCATTTTGAACATCTACCAACTATAGTCGAACAGAACAAAGGTTTAAGAAAAAACTTTTTGTGGTTGTAACGTTTAGAGTAGGTAGCTACCTTCTTTGTGACTGCGCTCAACGACCGCTGTTGCAGCTGTTGTATTTATCTTTCTACGATTGCATTCCGTTATTTTATATTTATTCACCAGAGTACCGGCTATTATCAACGAACAAATAATTACTCCTAATACACATATGATTGATAGAATAAAATAATATTTAATCGGTTCCAGAATTAAAACTTTATTCGACTGACATTTCTTATCGGCTACATTCCATGTTGTTGTCGTTGTTAGCGTGGTAGTTCTTGATCGTGATCTTGATCTTTCCTCTGGCTCTATTACTACATAATACAGCTGTTTACATATGAAACTATTTGTTAGATCTAATTACACTTACAAGGAATTTTATCGTCTTCGGCATAGACACATATAAGTTCATCTACAAGTGAAGGAGGTCGGTGGTACGGTGTTATTAGTGTACTTGTATTAGTTGGTAAATATGAATAGGGATGTTCTATTTAAAAGAAAACAGAAAAACCATGTACGATTATAAATTGCAATTTCTATAGAGCTACTACTACCTTTCAAATAATCAGCTGCATCAAAACGTTTTATAACTTCAAATGCTTTAATCAGATATGTAAAATCTTTTTGTGAGA